TTTATTCCACTTTTTTTTTTTTATAGATATCTGATAGTGACCCACTGCCTCATGTAATTTGTTTACGTTGTGCCGAACAATTGGACATGTTCTATACTTTTAAAGAAACTGCACAGAAGTCCGAAGATATCTTACACCAGTTCCTTGCTTATGCCGAACAAATTTCTGGTTCTTCTTGCCAGGTAGGTAACAAAAAAAAAAGTTTTCCCAGCTTACTTAAAATGCATAAAAATAAAATTTCTCCAGTCATCAGTAACTAATTAAGTATTACTCACTAAGTAAAATAATATAAAGATCTGTATGTATACGGTTTGATTGAGTGTCTTTTACTACGAAATAAATAATTTTCTCTGCGTAGGTACTGAAATAAAAAAAATCTGTGCTCTCCTAATATCTCGCGTCATAAGTTGAAACTGGATTATAAACTACTTGATTTGGAAATGGATAATTGAGGCTTCTATTGTATGTTTTCCATTTCATTACCGCCAGCCATACGGCCATAGCTGTAGAAATGATTAATAACGCCATCATTAACATCAGTACGATTCTCATAAGCGTCATCGACTTATGGAAAACTGATTTACTTGTAGAATCTTCAAGGGGCTAAAAGAAAACATTTGCCTTATTGTTATCTTTATTAATTATTTGCCTGTTTTTGTTTTGTTGCCCGTTTGAAAACGCTTGACGTATGCATTAGTGTTTCGTACCAAAAGTGGGGAAAAAAGGTACCTTAATGCTTTCAAGGAGGGCTAGGGTCAAGTGGGGTGTCATACGAAAGGGCTCGATTTCTACTTTCCTGTAAACATTTCGTTTTCTAATTTTAAAGTACATTTTGGCCATTTATAATAAAAAAAGTTCGAAAAAAGATCCTTCTTCGTCAATCCCCTAGATTTCGGAACAAATGGGATGAGCTGGAAGGGGGAAGAGGTGAAATATAAAAGTGGGAGCAGTAGGATGTTATCGTTGTGTAAATATACCGAGTGTTGGTAGAAAATTGGTTCTGCTTTTGTGTGTGTTCATGCCACAGTAACAAACACAATAAAAGTGGCATAGAATAAAAGAGACTCACCCACATTCCGCAGGCGTTGTCCTTGAGTGTGTACACTTCTCTTGATGTGAACGCCTTCGCGTCCAGGCAGTACGGCCCGTCGCCATTTCGTTTGATGTCTTCATTGAGCTGTTGCGATATGTTGTACAGATCACAGTCGCAATAGAATCGGTTCCCTTTCAAATTCAACACCCTCAGACTCGACCAAGAGGGCAGCAACTTGTAGGAGACGTGCAGCAAGGAGTTACTCTCCATGTATAACTTAACAGAAAAAGAACACCCTGTATTATATAATGCTACATAATTAACACACATAAGTATACGTAGGTGTAATAACAGTCTTACTAGAAAAATGAAAAATATTGGGAAAGTATCTTAGTTTTCCAAACTTTGTTTTGTTATTTACTACTTGATAGGTTTTATGATATAAGAATGGTCCACATATCGTGGAAACGAAACGTTTTTATGCAGGTACAAGTTTGGCATTGAATTTATCTTGAATAAAATAATTTATTCGTTACATCATAATCTTTCAGCATGAGTCATGGAAATTTATCTATGATAGGTGTACTAATGAATAGTGTAGGTAAGATACGAGTATGTTGGAGCAGTCTCTCTTTTTATTAGTTATTGTTATTGCTCTATTTGGTACTCATGATCGAATTAATTATTTTTATTCTTTTTTTTTTTATAAAAATGTACCTACCNGTTTATTGTGTATGTAAAAATGAAAAGAAAAAGAATAATACCATAACATCTACCTACTACCTAGGGTGTGTGCTAAACAAGAAAGAAATGTATTTCTTTTCGCAAGGGTGCTCGGAAATCGACAGGGATGATATTAAAACATTTAATTTAAAGAGTACCGTTAATGGGTTTTGGGTCAAAGGATTTCGTGGTTTAGATTGTACAGTTAAAGATGATTATTTTGAAAAAATCTTTAATTTTACCTAAAACTGGTTTAATATAATTAAATTAAAAATTATAAAATTCTCTGCAGTTTAATGTTTGGGGTGTGATATCTTTTGAATAGGTTAGATAGGTGTTGCGCATAGAATTTTCTTAAAATTAGTATTCAAATTATCATGTTAAACCGTCCGTGTTATTTGTGGTGATTCCCCTGTTGATTTCTGAGGAACCTTTTTCATTTTTTGGCACTTAATAAATCTACTATTATCTTTATACGTAACCCAAATCCATTACACAGGGTGTTGGTAAAAAGCAAGTCCACTCAGTTATTTTTTTCAGTTTCATTCATTTATTTTGCCTTCAGTATTTGTTGTTTTTTTGGCAATTTAGTACCTACTACATTAAATCATTATATTATTAAAATGAAAACAAAAGCATCTTTACTCTGTGATATTTATATCTTTTGCAAATAAAATTGCCTCACCCTGGCAGCTCTGTTCGGTTCTCCTATATAAATTGGTTGGAGTTAGTATTTTCCGTCAGTTGATTATGAGCTAAACTTAAACTCTGAAAATACGAAATTTAAAGTACGTTAGTTATGTTTAACGTTCAACTAGTGATACTTTACTTGTAAATTGGGCAGATAGGAGAATGAAAATGCTGTAACGTGATCCAGAACCCTGAAGTGGTTCCCCTCTAAATTCAGGACTTTCAAATAAGGGATGTGTTGGAACATATTCTTTTGTAAACTGTGTAAATTATTGTATGCCAAGTTTAAATACTCCAGAGCTATGGGACGAAAATCTGTGACATTATACGGTCCCTTGAAAACGTCCCCACCAAGTTGATCGTCTAAAAAAATATTAATAGGTATACATTTCCGAATATGTTTAAGTTTACTATTAGGTAACTTACTTTCTAGTAAATTGTGACTTAAGTCGACGTATTTCACGTTTACTGCGCTTTCAAACAGGCCCGTATTAAGATATTTTATGTTGCAGTTGCTAAAGATGAGTTGCAAATTTGCATCCGTTCCTGGCATCTCTTCGAGCGTTGTAATGTTATTGTTTTTGAAATTGGCAAATATATTCGAGGTTTTTGACGCGCGATCGGGCCAATTTGCAATTGTGTGATGCATTCGGGCTTTTGAACAGTCTATGACGGCCGATTTTTCATTTGATGAATACTGACATGTGCATCTATCTTTACACAAATTAATAGAATTTTCAAAAGTTTCTTCTTGTAGGGAAAAATCTACTAAAATCCACAAAAGGCATATTGTGACCTGTAAAAAGAATTAATAGAATAAATTAATTTAGTATTAGGATAAATAGGTTAGATAAAGGTACCGTTTTTGTCTTTTATAAGCATGGGACAATGTGCAGTGCAATGCTTGCTTGGTTGGTGTATGAATCATTTCAGAAAAAAGTTAGGCAATTAAATCAAAACATTAAAAGCAGAAAAGATGTTTAATACAATTTACATTATAAAAATTTGTTAACAGAAATAATATAACGTGTATTTATTACTTACCAAGGTTTTCATTTTGTAGTTCTTTTTCTTTTTGTAAACATGCACAAAATTCACGTTACTGCGTTAATAATGAAACTTTGTACTTACGTACCTCTAACACTCGGGTTTTTATTTTATTTTGCGTTTAGATTAAACTGTTATCTTGTTTATATAGAGAGAGATAAGGGAGGTGGGTAATAATACGAATTTATTAAGGTAAGCAATAATACACAATTTATACCTTTCATTCCCGAACCTTGTGAAAACCGCCGATATCTGACGAAATAATTACTGTAATTATTACCGAAAACGTTTTTTTTTTTTTTATAAAATATGGAAGGAATTGTCACAAAACTATGTAATTTTTATAATAAGGAGGGTTGATAATAATAATATTTTTTTTTACAGGAGAAACTTGAAAAGTCTTCTACAATGTTAGACAACGTCCTCAAAACGTCTAGTGAGCTTATGAAGGGTAATTTAACAGAACGAGTGGCTTTAATGACAAACATACTTAATTCCACAAATTCCAAAAACATTTCCATTTCGGTGAAAAAAGAGATGGAAGAAGCATCAAAGATGGACGACTGCACATTGACCATCGTTACGAAAAAAGAACCGAAAACGTCCCATCCGGAATCGTCTCGTTCACCGCCACAGCAACAACAACCCCAACCGTCCGCATACACAAACCACCACCATAACAATTCTCAGAAACGAATCGTCTTCAACCTGACCGGCGAGATGTCCAACAATAATAGTAATAGTTCCTTTGAATCCCCGGCAGAAGTCCCGTCACCTCCATCAACGTCCTTGTCCGGGATTCCACCCCTTTTGCCGTTCAACGACCCATTACGTGGGGTTGCATTCAACAGGGAACTGGAAGTGAAAAAGTGTCCACCGATTGTTGTAGTCGATGGCGACGATGATGAGGCTAGAAATCCGTTGAATTATTCGAATAAGGAGAAAGAAGGACTAACAACAAGGACGCGTTACTTCGGAAGAAGTCGATGTCCTCCACCCATCCTTCGTCCTTTTCGTCCATATACGACGAGTTCGTCACCTCCCAGTCCCTCGCTTGACAATGAACCGGCCGATTTATCGAGTAAGAAACCCGAAAGGCTCACGTGTGTACCCGAAATCGACTTTATGAAGGAGGACATGGAAGATGACGCTTCGGAGGACAGCAATAGTTCCGATCCGGAACGGCTAGAAGTTGACATGTCGCAGGTACTTAACAAAAATGTTTAGTTCTTTTAGGAAGGCCCCTCTTTACTCCTGTTTCGTCTTATAACTTATCTATAACTAGGTCAGAAGAAACCATTCAATCTATTTTTCCTCGTTGTCAGGCTACTTCATGCAATACCTCCTGATTTGGAATTACTTTTGTTTTTGTACATGTAGACACAGTTGTTGATTTTGTCCATCTTTAAGGATTTGGAAGAGCAATCCAATTCTACGACAGCTAGCGCCACGTCTCCAGTAAATGATAATGTAAATGAAGAGGGAGAACTGTGGAAGGCCCTGTCCCAAAACGGCCATTCTCAGGGTGCCCCGCCATTAACAGGCGAGGCCAGTCAACTTTTACGAAAGTTGATAACATGCAGGAAGTTGGGAATGAGCATTACACCAACACCCATCATTACCCTACCCACAACCGGTGATACGGACAATAATAGAACCAATGTTAATGCATTTACTGTAAGTAAAACGTTTTCTATGGTAATTTTATTATAACTATGTACCTTACAGTGGTATTTGCAACTTGTAAAAACTTTGTTGAATTCAACACAGACATAAATCATTTTATTATTTTTTTTTTTTAATTATGTTGTAGCACTTTAATTTTAAAGATTAATATTCAGATAAATTATCGCTTTATCGTTTATAGGGATTTATTTTTTGTTAATGATCATTTTTAAATATTTTCAGATGGACACTGGCATGTACAATAAAGTATCAGGTCGTCGAAAACAGTGTTTTCCAACGAAAGCGTCAGCTGTGGAGGAGTCGGGTGGCGATGAGAACAGCGGGGGCGGTCGCGAGGGTGAAGTGGACGATTACTTGCCTGAAATAAACATTAACAACTTCTCGAACCCTTGGTGTAACCTCCAGATCGTTAAGACGAAGGTACATTTGTTTTTCCTTTCATTCCTTTTTGCTAGTTGCACAAATAAATATTTTATTATCTTAATATATACAGGGTGGAGCAAATTTGGCGAGACGCGTGGATCTTTCTTGTACCAATTGTGGCACGCAGACGACGACGATATGGCGACGAAACGTCAAAGGGGAGATGGTGTGCAATGCCTGCGGTCTGTACTTCAAGTTGCACGGGGTCGATCGGCCCCACACAATGAGACGAGACACAATACACACGAGGCGTAGGCGACCTAAAGCGTCGGAAAATGAGAAGGAATCAAAACATAACCATAGAGGTTGGTTTTAATTTAACTTTACTGTAGGGAATTAAATTCTTTGTGCAATTGTTCGAAGATGTAACTTTACGAATTAGTCTGTATTTGAGATATAACGAAGAGTTATGATTAATCATTTCTGTATCGGCTAAACCAAATCAGTTTTTTTTCCTGTTTAATTTACACAATATAAATATGTATTTTGGATTCTCTAGGTTCAAAGAAGGGTCACTACGCGAACGACGCCGATAGTACAGAAGAAATGCTTAATGCGCTTCGTAGGCATGTGCCCATTGCTCCCAAAAAGTACAATCAACCCCAGCAGCAGCAACAGCAAACACAACAGCAGATGGTTGAATCGTCAGATACAGACGACATGTTGACTGCTCTACGTAGACAGATTCAGCCCCATCTCGTTATGGCGTTACAGGGTCACCATTCTGCCAGCGGGACAACCAGCTATTCATCATTACAAACGGTAAGTTTATTGATTTATTACGTTACAATGATCGGCAACGGTGATTTTTGATAAGGGACTTTGTTCCAATAATTAAAATAAAATAATGTATGGATGACACGACACCTAAATTATGAACGAATTGTTTTTTAGGCGGGCAATTTTTCATCTCCTTTCGCTCGTAAAGACGACCACCTCCACCCTCAACAGCAACAGCAGCAAACGCAGCACATGCTGAAGGTGATAAACGTACCAGAAACGGACGATTCGGATGACGACAGCATAACAGACTTGCCATTGAATTTGGTCGCGACCCAGATGGCCGAAACGACCGAATCGCATTAGCAAACCATCGAGACGACGATGACGACCACTACTACGAGGCCAATCAATAAAAACAAAGCGTTCGTCGTCTTCTTCATCGTCTTCACTTATCATTTCCTTTACACAATCACGTACACATACGTAAGAAGGACGACTGCCGTTCAGGAATTCCCCGGAAACAAAGAGAATAAAAGATAAAGGAATGACAATTCTCTTTGTACAGTTTGAAGAAAACGATACGAGGTATACGTAACAATGTTGGGTAACCAGAGTCCAAGCACGCAGTAAGTCTGTAATATTTTTCTTTTGTATCCATTAATGTCCTCCACACTTACGATTAATGTATTTTTTTAATCATTTTTACTTTTGCTATCGAAGCTTCTCTCGTGTTGAAATGCAAGTTAACAAGTATTTATTGTTATTTTCGAATAGAATAAGGAAAAGACATTGAGGAGGAATAAGAATAAAATTCCCAATCATATTGTGACCAGATAAGGCTTAAAATACACTGTCCAACAGTTACTTCAGTGATTAGTATGAAAACATACGTTTTAATTTTATGACATTAATCTCTCTGAAAACGCTAAAAAGTATTAAAATTAAAATTTGTTTTAAAATATGTTCCATACAACTTTCAGAATTAATACTAATTTAAGTGTAATCATTTTTTATCTTGTAGTTATAATAGTTTTGAAAAAACAGAAATCTAACTAGTCGAATGAGTATTTAGGGCTCTTTACTTAAACTCAGAAATAAAAATTTGTAAGTATCTGTAATAACGATTGTACATAAATTATCTGTTTTTTATGAGAGTATAATTTAAGTCCGCTTGTGTCACAATATTTAAAAGGTGAATTTTATTTCGTCCTTCTTCGTAATAATTGACTTTTCTAGCGGTGGTCATCGAAGGACGCTCTCTGTACTTACTATATATATACATATGTTGTATGTAAGGTTTGAACGTGTTGAAACGTTTTTTTCGTTTTAATGTTTCTCTCTACATCTTTCTCTCTCTTAAAATGATAATTATTATTATCGACTAACACGAAAAATACTCAATACTTAATGAAAAGGAAAGAAAAAATTCGAGTCGGCGATTTGTCTGTCTCTCGCGGGACTCCCCCGCCGGTGATATTTTGAGCTATACTTTTTCTCTTATTATGTATCTCTTTTTTATATTA